TGGATGTTCCTGGAGAATGTCATTCTAAGTGAAGTAAGCCAGAAAGAGAAAGACAAATACCATATGAGATCGCTCATATGTGGAATCTAAAATAAATAAATAAATACAAAACAGAAACAGACTCATAGACATAGAATACAAACTTGTGGTTGCCAAGGGGACAGGGGATGTGAAGAGATAGACTGGGATTTTAAAATGCACAACAGATGAACAAGATTATACTGTATAGCACGGGGAAATACATGCAAGATCTTATGGTAGCTCATAGCGAAAAAAAATGTGACAATGAATATCTAAATGTTCATGTATAACTGAAAAATTGTGCTCTACACTAGAATTTGACACAACATTGTAAAATGACTATCACTCAATAAAAAAATGTAAAACAAACAAACAAACAAACAAAAAATAGAATAAGTGGGGAGATATGTTTTCTTGGATGGAAAGACTCGATGGTATATATATGTCAATGTGTCAGTGTCTGTGGGTTCTCTGTGAAGTGGAGACATTGAGGTGGAGTTGGGAGTACAAGGGTTTTATTTGGAAGTAACGTATATGAGAGATAAAAGCAAGACTGGGCAGGAGAGCCTCAGCCTGCAATGCGAGGTTTCAGTCAACCCTGTGATGAGTTCCAGAGCCAAAAAATGACCATTAGAGAAATCTTGCGCTGAGAAGAAGTGGCCAGTTGCCTAGTACCCTCTCTGTACTCAGTCACTGGTGGAGGCCTTCCTAGAAAAAACCATGACCTTGGCTTGAAAGCGGAAGTGAAACTTAAAGGTGCTAACAGCTCGAGGCCCAGCTCTGTCTGTCTGTACTTGGAATTGAACGGCAAGTTCTTTCTTGAAGAGACACTTGAGGAGTGTACCTCCATAGCCGCCATAGTTAGTTCTCCCCAAATTAATGCAATTCCAATAAAAGTGCAACGATGACATGATTATATTCAGGAAAAATCCAAGGGATCAAACAGATGAATTATGAGACTTTATAAAAGTTTCTTGATATGAAGTCAACATATAAAATCTATTTTTTCTATATATCAGCAACAGTGAGTTAGAAGATGAAATGTAAGGGGAAGGTATAGCTCAGTGGTAGAGTGTGTGCTTAGCATGCCCAGTGTCCTGAGTTCAATCCCCAGTAACTCTATTCAAAAAATAATAGTAATAAATAATAGAATTTTTTAAAAAAAAGACGAGATATAAAAAGAAAAGAGAACCAAACTGAGTTTTTAAAATTCTATCACTTTCCAAAGACAAAAATATGGAGTACTGAAGTATAAATAGAACAAAAAAGTAAAATGTAAAGAAATTGATAACATTTTATTGAAAGATATTATACAAAGCTTTAATGAAGTGGGGCAATCGATCATTTTCATGTATTGAAAATGAAGACATATTAAGATAACAGACTTCCCCAAATGCGTTGATGGTGTAGACAAACCAAATATTAAGATTTTTGTGGTGGTTCTTGTCAAGTTGATTATGAGATATTTATGGCAATGCAAAGAACCAAGAGCAGTTAAGATGCTTTTTTTGGAAAGAATAATGATGGGTAGATCATGCTGCTTAATACGGGACAAATTATAAATCTAGAGTAAGTAGTGTGGTATTATCATAAGGAGTAGAAAAATGTAAAAGAATAGGAAGTCTAGAATGTATCCATGAATAAAAAAAATGCCAATAAGGTGTGGGATGTTTTTAGACATTGGGGTGCAGTTTAACAAATTAATTCTGAAGTCTGTTTGGAAGAATCTGAAAGAATGATCAAGAGAACTTTAAAAATTATGACTAATGCTCTATTAAGTATCAAAACCTATTAAAATAATGTAGTGTTTGAGCAAAGGATACCCAAATAAATCAGTGGAATAGTCAAGAAACCAACCCACATATATAAGAAATTTAGAATAAGATAAAAGACAAATTTCACAGTAACGGCAAAAATTTGATTCTTGAATAAATGGCATTGAGAGAACCAGGTAAACCTGTAGTGGAAAAAGTAGAATACATGTTTTATAATATAGTCACAAGTAAATTCCAGATGTATTAAAAAATATGACGTCTGCAGCCAGTTAAGCTAAATGTGTTCTTTTCCTTATGGGGACCCAGGATGCAGTGGCGGCAAACAGCAGCCTCCTTGGTTGTGTATGCAGCCTGTTGCCTGCATGGGTTGCTCTTGGGGACCCTGGAGACAGCTCTTTCCAGTGGACAGTCACGTCTGGCATGTTATCCCCAGCCTAGGCTCCAGAAAGGTAGGCACAGTGCCTTTGGAAAGCCCCAGTGTAGCCAGGGGCCACATTGGCCAAGTCATCCTGTCTATTCATACCAGGCTGCATGAGACTGAGACCCTACGCAGGGCCAAGTTCAAGTTCCCCAGCTGCTAGAAGATCCACATCTCCAGGAAGTGGGGATTCACTAAGTTTAATGTGGATGAATCTGAAAACATGATGTGAGAAAAGCAGCTCATCTGAGATAGCTGTGGGGTCAAATACATCCTTAAACACGGCCCCCTGAACCATATCCATGACAGCTCTGGCACTGTCCCCTCCCTACTCATGCCCATCAATAAATCCTACTTACCAGTGTAAAATAGCAAAAAAATTGTATGGGAGAATATTTTTATAATTTGGCATGAGGAAGGTCTTTGCATGCATGAAATAAAACTCAGGAGCCATATTAAAAGAGATGGGCAGGTTTGCCTATGTGAAAATTTTAAATATTGCTTGACAATAGCCTTCATAAACAAAACTTAAAACAAAGAACAGACTTAGAGGAAAAAAACTCTATATGTAATAGACTTGGCCTAATGCGTACAAATAAACTTAAAGAGACAAACAAATCAATAGACATTTAGCCAAAGGATATGACAGGCAAGTTAAAGAAGGAGCAAAACAAATGATAAAGAGATAGGAAGATGTTCAATCATTTATTGCTTGTATGTGGAACCTAAAAAATAATACAAATGAACTTATTTACAAAACAGAAATAGGCTCACAGACATAGAAAATGAACTTATGGTTACCAAAGGCGTAAGGGGAGGAGAGGGATAAATAAGGAGTTTGAGATAAACATATACACACTACTACATATAAAACAGATAGACAACAGGGACTTACTGTAGAGCACAGGAAACTATATTCAATATCTTATAATAACCTATAATGAAAAGAATCTCTAAAAGAATAGATGTACATATATAACTACATCACTTTGCTATGCACCTGAAACTAACACAGCACTATAAATCAACTATTCTTCAGAAAAAATTAAAAATTAAAAAAGTAAATACCTAAAAAAAATGTTCAACCTCTTTGCTGATGAGATAAATGCAAATCAAACAACAATGAGATGTAAGAGATGAAGATTTTTACCATTCAGACAAGCAAAAGTTTAAAAGGGTAATAATATTCAGCATTGGCATTAAAAAAGAATGAGGTATGTCTAAACAAAGAGCTATTTAAGATAACACTTATCATACATTTAAATTTTTAAATATTGTTGAGTTTAAAAGCAACACAGAACAATATACACATAAGATGATCCCATCTTTGAAAAACAATTTATATTCATGTGTGTGTGTTTCTTGTGTGTCTGTGTTTGCGTATTCGTAGAAGAAGGCCTTGAAGGACACACATTAAACCATTAAGAGTGGGGAAGTGTTGTGGAGGGATTTCTGCATTTCACTTTATATAACTCCTTGTTTGAATTTTTAAACATTAAAAATGCCTTTGAAAAGAAAGGAAAACAGTACAAATTTCCTCTGACTCAACAGCTACACTTCTAGAAATCTATTCCAAACAAAACTTCCCACAATGTAGACATGCACGAAGATTTCTTATAGCATTGACTGTAATAGAGAAACACTGGAAACAAACCACATATCCATCAAAAGAGGATTGGTTAAATAATTACAGTAATTCATGCCATTGAAAAACTGGTAGCTGTTGAAAATGAGATAGATCCATGTATACTGTTAGAAAGGTATTTTGATACATTGCAACTAAAAAAACTAATTGCAGGACAGTATATATTTTGGGTCCATCACATTTTTATGAGTGTAAAAACATTAACATATAGAAAAATGACTGGATGAATACATTTTAGGTTATTAACAGCGCTAGCCTTTGGAGAGTGGGACTGAGGGGAGGGAGAAGACAGGCACAGTTGGGAAGCCAACCGTAAGGCCTGGGTATCTATTAGGAGAGGCCAGATGCATCTGGGTGCAGGTTTTGATCTCCCCTGCTTGTAGTGTACCGTCTCCTCAGTCAGTCATTGTTACATCCCTTAATTCCATAGACAGAATAAAAATGTATCAAAAAAAAAACCAAGGTAAAGATGGAGAAGGGAAGAAAAGGAGAAAAGAAAATAAAAACAGCTTGAAAAGACAAACATTGATGCAATCAATCGGGCAGAAGGTAGATGTGGATACCTTCAGCTGATCTGCTACATCTCTACTGCACCTTGCTTCTAAGGGCCTCCCTTTGCAGAGGCTGGGAAGCTGAAAACCACAGTTCTCAGACCCCTTTTCAGCTAGAATTCTGAATGCAAAGCAGGTAATAACAAGTAGATGCGTTGCGTGTGATCTGGAAGACAGGTGTGGGACAAAAGTCACCTACCTGCATCTGTGGATTGTTTTTTTGCCTCCAGGTCATGTCAAGGAGACCTGAGGTTTTCCAGCAGCAGGGCTCTAGCGTCTACTCCCTGGCTCCTTAGGTGTTGAAAGGTGGTTGTGTTGACCAGTAAGGACTTCCAAGTCTCTGGATTTGATCTACTATTGTGTGTGTGTGTGTGTGTGTGTGTGTGTGTTTTAATTGAGGTATAATCAGTTTACAATGTTGTGTCAATTTCTGGTATACAGAATGTAATGTGTTTTTTGAACTCAATAATTTTACATTCTGAGAGTCATTTCAGTCCTTCCAAAGATTTTTAAGTACCTGATATCCTCTGATAAACCTCTTCCACTTTGAAATATGTAAAGCAGTTTCTGTTTCCCTGTTTCAGTTGTCTTATTGCTGTATGACAAATCACCCACAACTTAGTGGTTTAAAACAGCACCAATCATTTATTTTGCTCACAAATCTGTGATTTGGGCAGGATATGGCAAGGAAAGCTCATCTTTGTTCCACACCATATAAGTTGGCGGGGCTCTACTGAAGGCTGAACTGTCTACTTTCAGGAGGGCTTATTCATATAGAGGGCAAATCGGTGCTGGCTGTCAGCTGAGTTGTTTCTTCCTGTCCACGTGGGCCTCTCATCACAGCTCGGTGGCTGGGCTCCAAGAACAAGTTTGTTTGTGTGTGTGATCATCTTTGTTCCTTACTTTCAGAAGCCCTAGAGCATCACTTCTGCAATACTCTGGTAACTGAGACGGCCACAAAGTCCCACTCAGGTTCAACTACTCAGGGTCAAGAAGAGGGGACTTAGACACCACCTCCTGATAGAATAGCGACAAAGTTCTGCAGGAGCATGTGGGACGGACATAGTGTGGCCTTTTTTTTTTTTTCAGTTTTCAGTTTTATTAGGTAGAATTGTTACAATTTGACTGCACGTATACAATGTCTTGCATGTAAATACATATACACGATATACTGCACATATTTTTAAAATTTATATATATGAACTGTTCATTGTTTCTAAGAACATTTAGAGCCTTAAACTTACATAGTTATCAAAGGAATAAAGCCAACCGCAAAATAAGAATTAATTCAAGAAGATACATACGCCCCACTATTAACAGCAACATTCTTTATAAATGTCAAGATGTGGAAGCATCCTAAGTGCACATCAATAGATGAATGGATAAAGAACATGCAACACATATATGTAATGGGCTACAGCTCACCCATAAGAAAGAAGGATATTTTTCCATTTGTGGGTGTGGCCATTTTTATGAAGCACAATCTGCCACATTCCTGCTCTGAAACATGACTGATACAGTTAATAATAGCAAGGCTGCTTTTCTTTTTAAACCTTAAGAATAAGAAGTTGAGCAAAAATTAAAATGTAAAAGAAAGAATGAAGTCTGTAAATATCAAAACAAGCTGCAACATTTTAAAGGAATATACAAGAAAATAAAAAAGGGCCGATTTTTACGAGGTTAATTTTTTTTAAACTGAAAAGCCAACATACAGAAGCAAATAGTTTTCTAAAGAATAAAGTTTGATGTACCAAATGTAAAGGTGAGGGAAAAATAGCAGAACTAGAAGCCTGAGAAAGAGAAGCAAGAAAATAAGGATAAGGCTAGAAAAAGAACCATTCAACAGCCCACATCAAGGCAACAAAGTATGTTCGAGTAGCACTAAGACAAAGACATTAAATCAAATATATCTTTGTTAAAATCAGAAAAAAGGAACTAAAGGCCAGTTTAAGGAAGGAATCCCTCTTCAAAGGCCCTGTATGGCCAAAATTATCTCCAGGGCTGCCGGCTGGTAATTCTGCCACATGGCTTTGGAGGTCTTGTCTCTGGTTAATTTCTCTCTCTCTCTCCACCCCCCTCCACTCCCTGCACACATGGGCGTGCATTTCTTCTCCATGCTAATTTCAGACTTCTGCCAAAGCAAATCTCCTTGGACTTTGCTGCCTTGTCCAGATCTTTCCTGGTCCTTGTGGCCATCGCAGCTGGGTCGTCAACCTGGTGAGGAGAGACCAGAGCCTCACAGAGTCACTACTTGTGAGGGCCTTTTTACCACCGTGCAGGTTGAGTAGGAAGTGATCTGGGAATTGGTGTGAGCAAGTTGTTGTGAGGACCCAGGAGCCTACTGTATCTTCATAAATGCACCATGTCAGTACATGGATTCCTTAATTTCTTGCTTTTAACCTGCCATTGCCTTTATGGCTGTTTTGTTTTAATGACGATGATTAAAAGAAGATTTAGTCATTGTCCCAAGCATACAGTCTCTGTTTCCAAATGGGAGAGTCTGGGCTGATTCACCTCCTGACAGCACTTCTGTGCCATCTCCTTCGATTCTTTTTTCCTCCCTTCACTGGGTGGCTATTATATCCACCACTGGAGTCCTGTTGTTGAGTGCAAAACCTCCATCACCGTGGAAGACCCAGATTTCCTCCAGGGCTGTTTGGGAAGCATACCTGTGAGCAGAATCCACGCAGCTGTTGGGCACCAGCAGCGAATCTTCCAAAGCAGCCCCAAGCAGGGCGGGAGCTGGGCTGAGGATGGAGGTGTGAGAGGAATCATGGCTT